AATATTTTTATAAATTTTATATATTCTTAATATATTAATTTTTATATTTTCAATATATTTATAATACTTACTTAATTGTTGTTTTTATTTTATGAAAGACATATTGCAACGTTTTTTTTACATAAAAGTTTTTATAGAAAATATTTAATAATGTTAATATAAGTTAAATAATAATAAAAATAAAAATTGTAATTGATTCTACTTTAATTTTTACGAATTTATTAATTTTTACAATTTATAAATTTAAAGAAATTTGCGGGAATGGATGATAAATGTCGGACCAATCACAAACCGGGGAGAAGGTGGCCAGACTCTTATTAGAGGGTCACTAGAAAAGCCTTGTCGTACGACACATGAAATATCGGCCTTAAGATGGCGCGCAATTTCGATAGTCGCAAGCCTTCAGCCTTCCATTCTTCTCTCCCTATTCTTTGACTGTGACCGTACACGCCATGGTCTTATTACACCATGGTACACGCCATCTACGTACTATGTATCCTTTTCGCATTATCGTTAAACAGTAAAAGAGAGTAGGGGAATGAATGATAGATAAAATATCATTTTCGTACGAAATTCGATTCCAAATTACGCTGTTATTGTATTCTATTTTCTATAAGCCACTTTCCATTGCACGGGCATTTTCATTTCTTATGTATGTATATGTCTCCCGGGTGATTACGGTAACAAACGTGAGGTTTCGCGCCAACATAACCTTGTTGCAAACCGTGCAAAAACGATTTTTAAATGCAAATTTCACTGATGATATTTCGGTAGCTGGCCTGAGAGATGAAGGAACTAGAAGAAGTCAATTGTGAGGTAATGCATTACGACATAAAAATATTTTAATTATTGATGTAACCTATCGCGATAATTTGTAATATATGTATATATATATATATTCTAATGTGATATTTTTCTACTTTGAATTGAATTATATTGAGAATACAAAATAATGGATAAAATATAAGCGAAAGAGCTTATTTTTTTATTGCATATTAATAATTTTTTAATACTTTTTTCGTATAGATTCGCAGGATTGTGAAACTTCAATTTCCTGTGTCAAATTGGTTAAGAAATTTAGAGTATAGTCAGTCTGCAAATCTCCAAGATTACGACAATGTTAGTGAATGTCGTGGAGAATTTCTACACGATGCAACATATGCATGGTTGAGTTATGGTTGCCACTTGGTAGTTTTTAATGTAAAAATAGGAGAAACCGTTAGCAGTTGGGTATTTCGTGGTATCGTAAAATCAGTTTCCCAATTTCCTACTCAATCTGGAGATTTTCCATTACTACTGGTTGGAATAGATAATTGTGCAAGCAAATTGAAAGATTCTTCTGGTTTATTGTGTATATTTGACTGCACTACATCCCGCGTTTTGAGAGCTATTCGTGTAAGTATTATCTTTTAAATTAGATTCATTTTGAATTAGTATTAAGGATTAGAATTATATAAAATTATTCTTTTATACCCTGCTAATGATGTTTTATAGATGCCATGTGGGATAGAACAAGTATGTGTTGTGGCGGGTGGTGCCGAATGGGAGGAATTCAATGATAAAAGACCTGATAACCTACTAAGCGAAATGGATGGAATGGCCTGTGTAGTTTTGCGTAATCTACATCATATCATGATTGATCTTCGGAGAACTGTATGGGATATGGATGATTTGTCTATTATTATGGATGAAACATCACCAGCAGAGATACATTTTCCATCAGCGAAACAAATTATTGATAGATGTCAATTTATTCGAGAAAAACATACAGCTTATAATTTGCTTAACAATCGTAAGTACTAGTAGTAAACGATCATCAAGTTAATATTTATCCATGTGTCAATATCATATTAGATAAAAAATATGTCTAAAAGACAGATAAATATATTGCTTTCTATAAACACATACAATATATCTCTGACACACAAATCTTTGAGATTAATATTATATAATATTAGTTATTTAATATTAGTAATTACATGAAAATTTAATATATTCTTAGGTATAGAAAAACACATTGGCTTTAACAGAGAAGATTTTGAAGCATCTCCTTTGATTGGAGAGAGTTTGACCACTGCAATTATCAGTTCCACAAAGATTGGCTGTTTAATCTCTGGATGTTTAGGCAGAGTGATAATTTGGCAGAATGATGGCTCCATAGGATGGATCAGTACACCTATCGACGAGAATATGATAGTCACACATTTAGCTTTGTTAGAACCCACTGATGATCCCAGACCTTTTTATTATTTGTGGGTAGTATTCCAGGATGAATTGTCAAACGCGCCACCGATATTGCGAATGTATGCTATGCTATTTGAAAGGAAATACTGCGACAGAGAGATAAACTTGTACTTTAATTTAGAAAATGATCCCAGTCTGAAGTTTGAATCGGAGTTGAATGAAGGAGACAAGGTTATTAGTTTGTGCACTGTTGAGAGAGAATCTAATTCAGAACAGACCGAATCAACGGTTAGAAGAGGCGAAGATAATTTACTGCTTATTGCCACTAGCGACAGAATATTTCTGTTTGATTTGAATCAGTGGTATAAAGAGCAAATGCCACACACTATTAGCGAGTGTCAAAATCCAAATAGCATATTGGCAACATATCGTATACGATCAGACATACAAAATGAGGAAGACAGTCAGATCATAAGTTTTGCGTATATCCCACACAGTTTACAAGAATTCTCCAGCAATGGCCCAAACTCATCGGAGGAACTATTCTATCCCAATTCCTTGTCACTCGAATGGGTGGAATTGAACTCAACAAAATTGACATTTTGGATGACTCGTGGTATTCAGACTGATTTACTGCGTGAAATAGCTATGACAGGTCCTGTTGTATTGATACAACCGTTTGAAACGTTTCACAGATGTCTTTCTGTTGGGTTAGTGCCATTCAATTCAGAGTTCTCATTTTCCAGCGATCAGAACGCACAACGAGAGATGTTGTTGTCTCTCTGTTTGGAACAACGATGGTCCAGTTTTCTGATAAAATGTGCTACGGAATGGTCAGATGGTAGTGCCTCTTATTTGTATCCCACTTTTCTTAATTGGGGCATTCAGAGAGCTTCTACAATAAAAATAATTGCGGATCGACTCTGTATTCCTCTGTTCGATCAATCAGGCAGTAGCATCGGTGAAACTGACGTGAAAACTTTGCGATTTTGTTCACAGCAATTGGAATGTTTGTCCAATATAGTGGCTAAATTGCCATCCACAGCGATTGACTTGATGAAGCAACGAAAGACGTTAAAACGCGTGTCCTTATACTTTCAAGTACTCCTTTGGTTCTACGACGTGGGTCTGCTGCCCGAAATGCAAGATTTAGAAGAAGAGGAGCAGGCGGCAATGGCGGCGACGATAACAAAGACAGTTGAGCAAGAAGAAGAAGGAGAAGAGGAGAAGAATACGCTATCTATTTCCTTAGCGCTAAGAGTGCCTTATCCCTATGCGAAGCTTTTAGTGCTTTATAAAGAAAAACGAGCACAGTTATTAAAAAACAATGGCAGCAATGGTGAAAATGAAGAAAATTTATTTATTGATGAGCTGATAACACGTGAATGTTCCATGTTAAAAGCACAATGGGAAAGAGAGGGTGGCATCACCATGCATGGCTGCTATCCACCGCCATCGCTGCAATCTCTACTACGATCTTATTTAACCGATTGTCATCAGACGGAAGTAAATGAGATCAATTGTAGACATCAGATTACAATTTACCTCCTGATGGATCTAGCTATGCTGCTGCAGCGGTCGTATCCCGCAGTGAAACAGCTGATCAAATATCCGTCCGCATTCATGATGAGCCCCAGTCTCATCAAGCTCACTCAGGCATTCTGGCTACTCGATCACGAAAATTATCAGGAATTTCTCGATACAATGACCGGTCAATTAATTTGTGATTCTGATATTAAGGATTGGCATCATAGATTCATATTGCGCACTTTGGTGCGTAATAATCAACACAAACTAGCGCTCTTATATCTTCGTGTGAGAAAACCACCCTTGTCCTCCATAGAAGAACAAGGTATGGCCATGAGCCTTTCGGTGGAACATGGCTTGGTACAGTCTGCTTTCCATCGTCGACCACCCTGTCATTACGAACAATTACTAACCAGCTTTTTTCAAGCATGTAGAAAATACAACAGGCTCGACGAAGTTCTGCATTTAGTGCTCGACTCTGAGGAAGAGGAGGTGTTTGTTAAATTTCTCGAAGAGAATAAGATGGAAGATTTACGATTGTTGTATTATCTACAACGATGTCGTTACACGGAAGTAATTGGCGGCTATCCGATTAGACAATACCAACCAAACGTAATCAAAGACGTGCAGTCCACGTCATTCATTATGCTCAGCGCATACGAAATGACCTTGCCTGATATCACGAAACGATTCTCCATGAACGCGACCACAATGAATTCAGACGCAGATTTAAAGGCGCGCTATTCCAGACCGATGTCACATTGTAAGAGCCACGATAAATTGCGGAATATATATGAAACAGTGATTACAAAAGCCAGAGAAACTTATCTACGAGGAGAGAAATCTCAAATCCCGTTTGTCAGTGCACCTTGTACATCGTTGAAACTCAACAGTCACGGTATAAACATGAACTGTGTATTATTTCCGACACTGATGCATAAGATTCGCGGCAAACGCACAGTTGATCAGATCTATGAAGAGGACGATGCAGATGACATGTCGAATAATATAAAACGCCGGAAACTATCAGACGAGATTATCTCACCAAGCAAACGAGTTTCGGAAGAATCGAGGGAGACTTTTGACACACCTCTAGTAAAGCGCAAATCTAATGTCTCTATCAACAAGGATCGTGTTCTAGAGACACCGCAATCAATTTTAAAAATTAGACAACTTGTAAAAAGCTCGACGTCTCCTACTGTAACGTCCCAAGCAAAGGAGAATACCGATGGATTGTCCGAGAAGGAAAGAAAAGTTAGTAGACAGATACGATTTAACATTAATCAGTCCAAGAAAACTTTGATGTATGAGGAAGAGAATGAGAAGGAGGAGAGAAGGCAGAAGGAAAAAGAACAAGATGATAATGAGATCAATGTTCCCCTTAGTTCGAACGAAATGAGTAACGATGCGTTCTTCAGTCCAAACGCAAGTAACGTGCCAGAATATTGTGAAAGCGCGATTTTAAGTGATAGTAGCAGTGCTTCTGGTAAGATTCATTGCTACGCCCGTCCGCGACCCAGTCTCAGAAGAAGTGCCTTATTACAATCATCCGTAGAAACGTCACAGGAATTTTGCATGGATAAAGCGAGTGGCTCATCCATAAACTTGTCCACAGCAAACCCAATGACTTTCGAAAAGATGAATGAACAACCGTTTATTTCAGGTACACCGAGGAATCGTAGCTCGTTATTATCGACCTCTATTTACTCGACCAGTATATTGTCTTCTGATAGCAGCGTCGATATTAGCTACCTTACAAAGACGTCAGGTCCATCACAATGGATATCGTCCATGCAAAGAGAGAGTAACAATAAATTTATCACTTCGTCTACTCCACTAACGAAGATTATAGTTTCTGAAACATCTATTAATGATAAGCAAGCCATGGAAGTAGACAACACGAATAACTTGTACGAGATAAAGGAAGATGTTAATGTGCTAAGCGAATCTGAAAAACTTGTACATGTTGAACAATTTGGTTGCGGTGGAAGTGGACTGGATCTCGCGAAACAAGAAGATAGTTTAGATATGGTCGCAGAAAGCAACAATCTACAGAACGAACACAATAATGAAAGAATTGATAGGGAAAGTAGTTCAAGTTTACAGAATTACGAATTGCCTACACTCTTCGAATCTGAAAAGGTCCCGGAGTCGATCATTTCGGATGAATCTGACGAGGAGTTACTTACATTGCGAAACGACGAAGATAGTGACGAGCACGAGGAGACGTTCGAGAGTCTGTCCACGATTTTGGAAGACACGCAAATGCCTTTGGATAGTCATCAAATGCCTGCTTCTCGTTTGTCGGAAGAATACAGTATGACAAAACCTAACGGTTTGCAAGAATCGGTGCAAATAATGGGTGATGTTGATTTGACTGACGACGAATCTGCGAATAGCAGAGTTGTGACCGGTATTACACCGGTAGTATCTGACAAAGTGGATAATAACAAAAAAGATACGCATTTGATGTCAATTATTCATTCAGAACATACATTATACGACATGTCAAATATTACAGATGACGAGTCTGATTCCAATGCCAGAGAAGCTGAAGAGCCAAAAGTGCAAAACGATAGATATTCCAATTTACAAAGATCTTATGTCACCCAGAATGTCGAATTGGAGAAAAACAGTGAATCCAATAACCGTAAGTCAGGTAGAAGCAAGAACGTTTCAAAGGAAGATCTCAATAAGGCTCTATCATCCCCACAGCAAACCAACGTCGATGTCCATGACAAAATTTTTTCGAGTTGTATAAAACTATACAAAGTAGATAGTAAGACCAAAATATCCGAGGAGATGGCTAAAGAGACGGTTGAGGACACGACTGAGGGAAAGCTATCAGATGATCAAAGTATCTCGAAAAGTGAAAAGAATCAAGCTGAGATGATGGATGTTTCATCCGTACATATGACTAGATCACGTAGAGCAAGTTCGCTGGCAAAAGATATCTCGGCACAGCAAGTAGAGCCGGAGAAAGTCACTCGTTTACGAAGATCAAGTTCAATGATGAAGGACTCTTTAAATTCCCCAATAGATTGTTCGTCACAGAAAATAGATTTTGAAATATTGTCGCGTCCAAAGAGAGCGAATTTAGCAGCGAAGGAGATAAGAATGGATTCTCCCTCGGGAAAATTACGTGGTCGAAGAGCGAGCTCTCTCGCGAAGGACATACTAATGAGCTCGGTGATGAGTTTGGATGAGAATTGTGAGCCGCAATCAGGAAATTCCGACGCGCAATCATCAACGAGAAGAGACCGCAGATGTACATCTGTAACGAAAGAGATACCGCAGGTCATTACGAAGGATAGCGACTCTGAGAGCGTTAAGGATGAACAACCAGTAAGGAGAAGCACAAGACTTGCTTCTTTCGCAAGAAAAGTATTACAGGCGGACGCCCCGACTCTGCGAGGAAGGAGTCTCGCTAGGTCAGAAAGCGCTACATCGCTCATCAAACTGGTGAGTGATGATGAAGAAGGCGAAAACACGAACAAGAAATCTTTGCGACGCACGAGGAAGTCTTCGGTGTCGTCCGATATGGATGGTACAACGATAAGCAGATCATTGAGATCATCCATGAGGGATAAGGAGTGTTCGAAAGACATTAAAACGAACCGAAAACGCGGCAGTTCAGTACCTAAAGAAATAATGACGCTGTCTATAGGATCACAGAGACGTAGGTCCAATAGTATTATTAAAGAAGTTATTGCGGAAGTCGCTGAGCCCCCAGAGGAGTCAAAGAGATTCGGAAATTCTTCGGCGAAAGATACAGAAAAGATTACCGGTAGACTAACAACAAATACACGTATTCGAAGCGCATCGGTACTCTCCGTGCCGGAGGAATTGGAGGAAATTTTGAGTCCGTCAATGAGAGAGACGAGATCTACTAGGAAAAAGGCTCTACAAAATAACGCCAGAGCAAAGAGAGCGTCCAGTGCGGATATGACACACACAGAAATGAAAAGAAGGGTCAAAAATGTTGACACAAGTATCACGGTGTTGACACAAGTATCGCCGATAGCGGAAGATCTAGCAGAAGGAGACGAAAAAGTAGATATTGAAACCATGCAAGATACTCCAGCGCCTAAAAGAAGGACGGCATCAACCACAATGATTAAAGAATCGAAAAAGGATATAGTAAAACCAAGACGAGGTAGACCGCGCAAGATCAGTGTGGATCAAGAGTCCAGCAATCTGTTTTCATTCTCGCTACCGGAGGAAACAGATGATGTGCCATTGGAGAAAGGTAATTTTCAAAATAGACTTATATTATATTTCAGAATAGTCTTATACTGCAAAAAACGTTCTATATAATAAAAAACGGAATTTTTTGTCGGTATTTCTTCTGAAGGATTGTTTTCAGAGATCTTTGTGTAAATTATCCTGTAAATCCTTTGAATTTCTTTTTCTTTCCGTAAGATTTTATTTTTACCATTTTTTTTTTTTTTTACACAATTCACTTTTATCTACACCGTTGGAAAATTTGTTTTTGTGAAAAAAAATCTGCTGGTTAAAGTGTTAAGTAAGGTACACATTTAGATGTAAATTTAACATATGTCTCTTATGTTAAATTAATATAATGAATATGAGAGAAGTGTAAAGTTATTAAAATGATTTAAAAAAATACGTTGAAGTAACAGAATTTGTACGTATTTAGTAAATATGTTAAAATTTATAGAATAAGAATGTTGATTTTATTTTGTAACGTATTATATCAATAAAACATTAGAGTAGTTATATTTATACATATAATATAAAAAAAATGTTTATATGTTAATTTTATCGTAATAATTATGTTGATTATACACATAACTAACTCTTCAAATTTTATTCAAGATTATATTCCATTTTTGTTGAAATATAAACATAATATTTGTGTTATCTTTCAACATACTCATATTATGTTAAATTAACACAAAAACTTGAGTGGACCGTTTGGGACATGCGATTTATGTTAAATTTAATATATTTTTTCCAACTGTGTAAATAGAATTTCTTATAGTCGATTTTTATCCAATTTGGGACGTATGTGTAATCCATTTACTTGTCGAATAGCAGATTTCAAATAGCAAACACGGTTTGATGAGATCGTGATCTTCAATTTACAGACATTGGAGAGGTCCCGAATTATGTATTCTCGCCACCTCAAACCAGATTTAATAAAAACATTTCTTCAAAGCAACGTCGTATGTAGGTAATTTATTGATTCGATACAACTGCTCTCTTTTCATCGCTATGTGTTATCTCTTTTTAAAAGCTTCAATTGTCTCTTATTTTGGCTCTTCTTACCAGAGAAAAAAAGATGCAAGTTTTTTTATTTATATCCTATGTTTATTTTTCACAGAAAAATAAGCTCGTCCATATCGAGTCCTTACCAGGAAGAACAGCGACCCGCTAGTCAGCAGTCTCGTAACATCAAATCTGGCCGTTGCGCTCGTTTAGTTAAAAATTCTTTCGGATCACGATTTCGAACAAGATTTATTGTATCTAAAAAATCCAAAAATAGAACAAATTAAAACTGGAAATTTTCCAAAAGTTCTGTCACGCACATTTTAGATTTGTAAGTCTTTCAAATACTTGTAAATTCCTTTCACATACTCTTCTTTTACCACCACAACATGTTTTTTTTTTCACGCTGTTTCTGACAATTAAAGCGATCGATTTATTCATTGGAAAGCATTAATTTTTAATATTTATAAGTACGAAATAGTGCGTGTGAAATAAGATATATTAGGAAACGTTACATGATATAGAAATTGTTGACCAGTTTTAGCGTCTATATTCTGGCAAAAATATAGTACAAAATAATTTCTCTAATATGATAAATAACTATGAATGTTAATAAACAAAGATCGAATGATTTAATTTGTATTTCCCAGCATATTCTAGTTAGAAAATGAAAAAAAATACGATTGCTTTATCTAATATTAACGTTTTAGCGAGGACAAACAAATTCAATTATTTGCAAAAATAGGAAAAAAACAAGATCATGAACTTGGCTAATCTTATCTTTTTGCGAACAATTTAATTTGTTTTAAATGATGATTAAGTAAAGTATCTCGTTTTCTTTTTCTGTGATTGGAATATCAGGAGACGCGGTAGCGTCTCCGGTTTAAATTATGATGGAAGATTAATGGCGAAATATTCCAACAACAATATTTGGAATATACACTAATGTGATGTTAAGATTATGAAGAAATACCTTTCTTTTTTTTTTTTCAATAATATGTAGAACTTCTAAGATTGTTTTTCAGAGATTAATAAACCAACATAATTGAATCAAATTACATTATATATGTTTACAGTTGCATAAAAAATTATGTTCTATCCAATCTAAGATATATCATGTTATTTTTGTATCAATACATGTGCGAGCTGATAAATGTACGACGGTAAAGTTACACATGTGTTATGTCAAACAATGTATTCTAATGGTAAATTATCATTGAAAAATGTACAGACGTTTATACACATATGCGCGCGTACAAACACATTCTTTAACTATCATAGTATTCATTCCATCAATATGTACATTTTTTAAAGATATTTATTGTCAGTAGTGTCAGTTTTTTTGTTAATATTTCTAGATTTTCATTTTGTAGCACAGATTTTGTTGCTACACATTTTGCATATGTAATATAGTACATGTTCCTATAATATTTTCAGCAAAAAGCAATGTATCATATCTTTGTAAATAATTTATTAATATACTCATATACAGTTGTATCGATACAATAAATGTAAAAGAAAGCTTATGCATACACACGCGCATGCGCGCGCGCGCACACATACACAACACATACACACGTATATGATAATATCAGACGAGAGAGAATCCATTCACCACAAATAATAAAATAAATCATTATAAAAAAAATCATTACGAAAAAATTCATATATTCTAATGGAATATTGCTTGAAAAGCTCTTAATAGAGATTCTTATTCTTCTGAACACAGTCCTTATATAAATAATACATTGTACACACATATACAGTAAGTCTATATAATCCTTTATAATGATAGAGAATTAATAATAAATAAATTCTAAACGTTTTATAAATGTGTTATTTTAAAGTTACAGGTAATTTTAAGAAATTTTTTTTTACTTTTTGAAGGGGAAATGTGTAACAACTGTATTCAGTAACAATTATGTGTTCACTCTTTAACATTTCCCTTTAACACACATTATATAATTATATACTTTAGTATTTTGAAAACTTGCTTATATCATATTCGAAGATTCGAAAAATATTGCAATACATAAAACTCTTTCAATCTAGATCCTTATATATACATAATGTGTACGTCCTTTCTTTATCAACACTTTTTTTTAAGGCTTGCATTAAAGTGTTATCTTTGGCAGTGTTGTCATTCTTTACGTTCTACCTTAACTTTAGAAAGAATTTTAAGTAGTCGCGATTTATTAGAAAGTTAAACGTGTTATAGATAATCTAGTAGCGTTGAACGATAATGTAGCGTTAACATGTAATCATCTTACAAGAGCCAATTGAATATAATGGAAACGTGAGATTCTTTTAAACCTAATAAAAGGATAATTTAATTTAAAGCAAAGTTTTTTGTAATTTCTCAATCTTTTGTCATAACCCATTCATGCATTTAAAAAATGACATTTCATACTGATCCATTTACGTGAATTAACATTTTATAATAAATTCTTATTCGATAAATATTTGTACACTGTCACACGGCTTTGTCGTCTTAAATAACTGCATAAAGTTGAAAAATATATCTCTTATACAAATTGTTCTCTGATTGTCAAAGATATTCTTTTGTTTTTATCCTACACTAAAAATGTCAAAAATTTGAACAATGAGAAGCATATTAATATATTAGCATCTTTATATACTTCACATCAGAGATGGCAAGTAATGCATTATTTTCCATTCTTGCTTCGTATACAATACTGTTAGAGATACATCAGCTATTAAAAAATGTAAAAAGAAAATCGAGAACAGTGCAATCTATTCATTTGAATATCAGCAATTATAATTATTACCGAGTAATTCGTTAATTTTTTAAGTTAAGGGGCTCTTTGATCATTTTAAATGCCCTTTAAAAGGCACATTATATTTTGCATAATGGCAGTACATTAATATTATCATATAATATATGGCAATATATCCTATCAATATGAAGAAAAATAATCGTAAAATCTCGAAATTCGTACACATTTTGCGAAAATAAATACATGTGGACAATTCCTAAAAAAATTGGACAAGAATTTACTTTATATTTATTGAACTGCTTGAAACTTTTGTTACGTGATATATACATTATTTTAAATAATATGTGAGGCCCTCTAAAAAAATGTTTCTTTAAAGTTAAAGTTCTTTTACATGGAAGTTTTTACAAAAGAAAACTGAGCATCTGTTCTACTTCGATGTTAAATATCTTCGGTTTAAATCTTCATTGTAGGTAGAAGGATCAACCAAAAACGATTTTAAAGAAGAGATCAAGTGCTCTTATAATATTATCTAAGTTTGTTTAAAACATTAATAAGTTTTATTGTTATTAACAACATAAACGTTAATTAAATTTTTTCACCAAAAAATATCACTTATGAAAGTTTTAAAAAAATATGGTCAGATTTCTTATTAAATTGTATATAAGATATATTTTTTATAGGATAAAGTTTTAAACTCTTAGTTTAAAAAAATCAATAGACACTGCACGGTATCGCGCGCGCCTACCCGCTCGGTTGCTTCGCATGGTACAAATGTTGTAGATTTAGACTTTAGATATAAGTTGTAAGATACATCGTATCTTGTAGCTATGATACTTTTTACAACTTTTAATAATATTTTAAATATTATTAATATTATTGATATATTACAATTACACAACTGTAAGAAATAATATTAACAAAAAGACACTAACGATAAATCATAATCTTAATTTGAAGTTGCCACCAATACGAAAAAAAATGAAAAAATTTTTTAGAGGCATAAACTCACACATTTAAAATGGTGTATACATCATGTAATAAAAGTTTCAAACAGCTTAAAAAATATAAGGTAAATTCTTATCTGATTTGCTCATTTTCTCAATTGCCCATACACTATAAATATATATAAAATAAATGTATTATTAATATTGCTCAATGTGTAATAAAATTGCATCTCTTTATAGACCTTAGAAATAAATACTGATTGTTAATTTATGTCATCATTTGACGACTATAAAAAAATTTTATTAAAAATATTGATCTTCCTCAATTTTATATTTCTTACTGATGTTTACACCCATCTTTAACTCGCCGCTTATGTTTCTCCTCCTGCACATTAGCTGGTGATTGAACCTGATTTCGCCGTTGGCCTTGAATCGGCATGTAACACGGTATATCATCTGTCATTAGTTCTTGTGGTGGCGGCGGTAAAACATAAGTGGGACTTATTGTGCTGCTCGAGCTGCTCGAAAAAGTACCTCTATGCACATTGTAAGTAGGATCGATAATGGTTGCGACATTTTCTACTTCTCGCACATTATCGGGACTGTCTAGTGTATGAATTTCTTCAAGATCTGAATATTGAGAATAATTGGCAGGATAACGGGTTCGATTCTTATTTGATGGAGTTTTCAAGTCCAACCTGTCTGGTCTTTGAGGTCGTTCTGTAAGATCTTGTTCATCTACCTGTTGCTGCTGCTGCTGCTGCTGCTGTTGCTGCAGACGCTCTCGCTCTAGTTTCTTCTGCCTCGCTCTTTCTCGTGCTTTACGAGCCTTTGCACGCTCCTTGTCCTGAAGCATTCGTGCCAATTCAGCATCCTGCGCTTCCATCGCTAATTTTTGATCCAATATAAATTGCTCGTCTTCCGGATCGTCGTGATTTTCTTCTTCTTGTTGTAGCTTTTTTGCCAGTTCCTATCATATATACAACAAAGTTTAATATTTATATTTTCATACTAACAAACAATTATCTCTTTTTCTTTTTTTAAATAAGACACTTTGAATTGGAGATTATTTCTTTTATTTTTATTTTTAATATAAAAATAAATTTTTAATGTAAATATAATAATAAGAGGAAAAATCTCCAATTGCCGTCTTAACATAGGTTTTATTAACCACTTGTGATTACCTTATCTTTTTCTTCTTGCATTCGTCTTTCAAACTCATATTGCATAGCTTCATCTCCCAATCTTAATTGTAATCTCATCATTTCTTGCAATTCACGCTCTCTCTGCTTCTCCTCTCGTTCCAAAGTAAGTGCAATCTGTCTCGCAACAACCGCATCTCTCTCTTCCCTTTATAAAAAAAAGAAAAATATTTTAAAACACTGATATAAAATAATCTCCATTTTTATAGTATTATATGTGAATAAATTATTATATGTAAATATTACTAACTGCTGTTGAACATAAGTTTGATATCTTAGCGCTTCCAATTCCTGTTCAACTTTGGCTCGTGGCACATCTTCTCTCACCTGTGCATTACGTGTTTTGTTGCCAGTATAATGTTCCTTAACTATAAATCATAATAAAGAATCATATATTAAAGCTTTTTTACTCAAGTATTGACAGTAGATACATATATATCTGCTAAGCACTTAAATCTTCTGTTCTACATCTTATATAAAGCATAAATCTTTAAAGCATTAATCTATCCATTTTCTATTTTTAACAAAATTATTATATTCGTTTACATTGTATTCATTTATGTTTATGTCTTGTCTTTTTTTTTCAATATATTCTTTCTCTCTCTCTCTCTCTCTCTCTCTCTCTC